CGTATTGGTATCTTTTTAAGGGGGAAGCCCGCAACGTTATCCTTCGTGAGAGAGACGTAATTAATAAACTTGACAAACCGCCTTCGTGCCCGCGTGATTGACGTCCCCTTCGGCGGACAATGAACGAGCGGCAAATGAGCTCTTAAAAGACGAGTTAATTCGCCCGCACGAGGAGGAGTCGCGCGCACGAATACTTCACGTAGTCGCCGAAAGTAGGTGGCCGCGAAGGGGTTACACAGGGTACTCGTCCTCGCGCACCCCGTGGTGCCTTCGACGGCACGAACGAAGCCACCCCTGTATCGACCCAGCGACGCCCACCCAAAAGAGCAGCCCCCACCATGGATGACCCCATCCACCGGTACCATTTCGCCCAAAAATTCCGGAGCGCGGTGCGTCGCGCGCGCCAAGTCGCCGCTGCGCTCTTGGTTTCTTTTTTTTGCGCCCGCGGCCGAACGAGATTCCGAATGTGCCGCGCGATCCTCGCGCGACGGCGACCGCTTTGGCTGTTTTCGACAAATCCGTTCAAAACCCCGACGTCACACGGCGGCTCGCTGACGAGCTAACTTTACACGTCCGCACGAAATTGCCGATTCGTCTAAGCGATTCGGAATCTCGTGACGCGATACATGCATTTAGAATAGAGGCGCTTTTAAAATTGTCCCGCGCTTTCGACCCCGAAAAACGAAATATTTTTGTCGAACACTCCACTTCTCGTCGGATGATTTATGGCCGACGACAACGTGCAGGGAAAAATAATTCATGAGACAATTTTGAATCAAAGGAATACTGCGGTATACATGGTATATATACGGGAACGAGGTATGTAGGATTCTCTCCTCGAAAAAAAAACCCACATAAATCATCCGGCAAAATTTATCACGTCACTGCGTGCCACAGTTTCGTATATTAAAAAAAAAAAAAAAAAAAAAAAAACGAAAGAGGCATTGCTAAACTGCCACCCCATCGAGGAGAGCCACCCGGTCACCACTTCATCGTGCAAGGCTATATTGCTTCTGGAAGGATTTTATTCTTCAGACATACATTGGAGGAGTCTCTCGAGGAGTCTCTCGAGGAGTCTCTCTCTCTCTCGCTGACCAGAGGAGAAACGCTGGCATTACATCCGCGAGCGATGGCACACCGTCGACGGTAAATATCCCGGCCGTCTACGTATTTCGAAACTTTATTATGACATACCGTACACTCGCTCCCGTAACACACTTCTCTCGCACGTAGTATATCTCGCGCCCGTTATTCCCGCGCGTGAAGGACGTACGCGCGCGCTTAAATTATTCCCCAAAACGATGACAGGTCCCATCCATTTGACTGTATATACGCCTGGGCGTTATTGTACGCGCGCGCGCGATGTGTGTGTTTTCGTCCATCCTGACGTATTTATAGCGGTCGAAACGTAACCTCCCCCTCCCCCCGCCCCCATGGCGCTCGTACACACGTACCGCGCTGATCTAACAATAAATTATTTCCAAATAGCGATGCACCGACGATGGTGGGAGGTTTGGTTACCGCCTCCACTTAACTCCGCGGCCGAAAATCCTCCCCGCAAACGAAACGGAAACCGTCCGCCGGAGATTCTCCCCGTCGCGCTTCCGCCGTCCGTCCGTCCGTCCCGCTTAATCGGTGCCTCTGTGTATACGTATATTGCAAGAACACGCGGCAAGCGTGTTATATCCCGCCGCGGAGTATAAGCGCTTCACACGCGAGAGAGGGCCTCATCGATCCGCGCGGTAAATATCAAAATTTCACGGACTGACGCATGACGCAAAAATCGATCGGAAGAGGAGCGGATTGGACGCGGCGCGGCGGCCCCTGGTGTTTGCACGAGTTCTTCCGCGAGGCTAGGTACACCGAGAGGCTATACGCGGAGCGGGGGGAAGGAGGGCCTCGTCACGTACTCGTCATCTGGTTCGACAGCGAGCCGCCGCTGTCGCATTTCGACGTGACGAGCGCTAGGCTGTGTGAAGCATCTCCGCGGATATTTTTACAGGTCGTCGAAAAAAAAAAAAACGTCATAAATTGCTCGAAGGAAAATCGTGATTCGAGCTATAGCTGCAGGGAACCGTCGAATCTCGAAGTTTCTGCGAATCACAAGTCGTCCTCTCAGAAGGAAAGGAGAGGGGGGGGGGATAAAGTGAACAAAAACAGAGGATTTAAAAAAGAAAAAAAAAGGAACGGATCAAAAAGAGCATCCCCTCACGTTTCTCGATTTCCAAGTGAATTATACACGCACGCCACAATATATAATAATTTAACATTCTTTGTTTGCGCAATATAAGAGGAATGCGGGGGAGGGGGAGAGGAGGACGCAGGGATTCCGAAAAAAAAAAACAGAATGTACGCTTCTCCGAATTTATTTCTTCGTTCCTTCCGCGCGCCAGAGTTTTAACCGAACGCGCGTACGTCCGCGTCCGCGCGGAAGGGAGGCATATGATCCCTTTCGCGGAGATCTACTCTTTGTTTAGGATTTTACGTATGTAAATAAGCGAAATAATATTACCATCGAACCACGAGAGCGCGCGCGGACGGACCACGTTGCGACGAATTTAATTATCGATTTCCCCGGGCGGGAAAGAGAGAGAGAGAGAGAGAGAGAGGGAGAGAATATCTTCTCTGGGCGTGCGGCATTCTATTTTCGAGACGCGCGATGCAACCAGCTCGGGAGAGTAGCGCGGTTTATTTCGGCGTGAGAGAGTTCGATGGAATATTATTATCGTAGCCGGCAGCGGTCCTTTCGTTAGCTCTCTCGAAAGGCGAGGCCAGCCAGCCAGCCAGCGAGGTTCGGTATCGCTCGCTCGCTCGACGATACCGCTCGTTTCTCTTTCGATACGCGGACCCTCCTCGAAATTCAATTCCCGTCCCTCAGGGGAACGGGGAGGAAGGGTGAAAGGGAGGAAGGGAGGGTGGGGGGGGAAGCGTTATCGAGCGCTATACATAAATTGCTTAGAGTCTAATCGAAATGTTAGCTTATCGACGGCGAAGATACATCGCGGCTATGTAAAAGATTAATGCCGATAACGCGGCGAAGACGAGAAAATTCTCGACTGGCATACACATACCCACACACACACACTCTCTCTCTCTCTCTCTCTTTCTCTCTCTCACTCTTTTCTCGGCAACGCTTAATTATATATATAGCACTCGCACGGAAATAAATCACGATGATTCATCGCGCGCGACGATAAAATACTTCTCGACGTTATTCGTTATTTTAAATGTCCGCGAGGAAACTGCGAGGCGGCGGCGGCGGCGGCGGCAGCGCTCGCCTTCCGTTTCCGCGCGGCGGCTATTCCCGGTGAATCAACGCGCGCGGCTTCTCTCTCGATTCCACCTCGATTTCGCGCTCGGCTATTCCCGTGGATTCTCGCGGGAAAGATTCCCTTGTACGATCAGGTACTTGACACACTTCGATCTCTCCCTTTTTCCCTTTTTTCCTCCCCCTCCCTCCTGCCCGCCCGCCCGCCTCGTTGCGGCGCAGCTCTCCGACCCTCTGCAGCCGCGGCGGCGGTCCCTCGGTTTAATTTCCAGCGAGAGAGCGACCGCGACGGCAACGATCGCGACTCGATGCACAAGTCTTGTCGTCGCGTCTCCGCCGCGAATTCTGATAAATTCTCCGCAGAGTGCACACGGGGCGCATTGCGGACCGGGTCTCACCGTATTTTCCGCCCGCGCTTTTCCCTTGCATCTCTCTCTCTCTCTCTCTCTCTCTCGCTCTCTCTCTCTCTCTCTCTCTCTCTCCTGCTCTTTGCAGAACGATCCCCGCCTTCGTGCAAACTTGGTCGACAGCGTTAGAAACTTTTCCAGCTTGTACTTACTTTAGAGCACGAAAGACTCCTGCGGGGGCAGTCCCGGCAATGGCTTGCACAGAATTCCTTGTCTTCCATACACTTCCGTCGTTATTTCGCTCGAGCTCGAGCCATTTCAACACGATTATACGCGCTTTCGCGCGATCGTCGGGCGAGCAAGCGTATCATTCGACTGGGGGGGGGAGAGATAATCGGATATCGGCTGTTTAATCAGGTCGGTCGATTCGATCTCCCCCCCTCCCCCTCCTCCTCCTCTTTCTCCTCCTCCTTCTCCCCTCCCCGGGAATGGTCAAACGTTGAAATTTAAACGGCAGCAAGCAAGTGTATATAGACACGCCCGGGCTCTCTAAGCCGGGCATCAGTAAGCAGGAATGTTTCGCAAATGTGTGGCCGTGCTCTGCAACTATTCCAGAGTTCACCGGGGGGGGGGGGGGAAGGTATACAGAGAGTATACACATAGTTCGAATACTTCCTTCCTTCTCGTAGATCCTTCCTTCTCTTAGACTAAGAATCGCAAGATTCGCAGCGGAAACACACCCGCGGCGCAGCAAAATCAATGTCTCTTCGCTGCAGTTGCACTTTTTCGTCGGTCAAAACAAAAAAATGAAACGAAACGGCGATTTAACCACCGTGAGAAATTCATCCTACAATTATCACCAACACGTCCGTACACGCGGACGAGATTGTCCTCGTGCGCGTTTAATTGTCGGACGATCGGCGGCGTGCGCTCGTACATATATCGCTGTCCGGCTATTTTACGCACGGAAAGAATAATTTTGCTGGATCCAGATCTGAAAGTAATTTTTGTTCAACAATGAAAATAATTTTGTTAAAAAGTCAAAATGATTGCTGGAATATCAAAAACGTTTTACAGCAATGCTTACTATTTTTAACTTTCCAACAAATTATTTTGATTATTGAACAAAAATTATCTTCAGATCTGTATTCAGCGAAAATTTTTAGACCTTTCAACAAAACATCGTTCTTTCCGTGTAGAGGTCTTTTTTCTTGTGCCCTGATGCAAATCAAACCCGTCCCGACATTTAGATACAGCTGCACGGCGGCGGCGCGGCGCGGCGGCGCGACGGCCGGCGCGGCTAGATTCGAGTCCTTTTTTGCGCGACCGCTCGGCGACGGTCGAACGGTTGACGCCGCGGGAGGATCGATGGCAAAAAATCCGTGTTAAACACTGGCACGAGCCAGATGCCCGGGGGTTGCGACCGTGGTGGTCGGCGGAGTGGTCGTCGTCGTCGTCGTCGTCGTCCGCGGTATCGGCGAGCGTTTCATGGGCAGGCTCCTGCCGCCCTGGCCGTCGCTCTTGACCCACGGCCACTGCAGGGTACGTATCAGGGTGTTCCGAAAGTCTTCCGAGAAGAGGCAATAAATGTAAAACGTGATCGAGTAATTGATCACTTCCAGCAAATTGGCCAGCGCGCGGAACACCTGCAACCGAACACGGGGTTGAGAATTAATGGACGGGATTCATAATTGATCGAGTCGCGCGTATCGCAGGCGCGGACCGCATGCAGCAGGTCCGCTGGCGGAACAATTGAATCAATTATTCAGGAGGAGCGAGCGGAGAAAAGTAAATTTCTGATCGCGAGCATTCTTACGTGCGGCAATAAAACGATGAGGAAAAAAAAGAAGGGTGAAAGAGAGAGCGGGATTGTTTTCGTAAATTAACATTTAATTTGGAATTCAGCTCTACTGTTGATTCACGTTAAATTATAAGCAAGAGCGAATGTGCGTTTCGACGGTAATTATCATTCGGAATTAAGAGAGAGAGAAAGGGAGAGGGGAGGAGGGAGGGACAATATATATATATATATATATATATATATATATATACACATATATATACATATATACACGGATGAAAATATCTGAGATGAATTCTCCTTACCTGGTAAGCATAATTGTTGAGATTGCTCTCGCTGAGTGTGACGTTTAAGATAACCATAGGACTGACGCAGACTAGGAAGAGGATGCTCGTGCTGCCTAAGAGCAGGATGAGCCTCCGCTCCTCGGCGAAAGTTCTGGGATCCTCGTCGCTGCTGACGGTCCTCGATAAGGTCATTCTCCGACGCCGCTCGCAGGACCTTCTGTACACTATCATTATTCGCAGATTGAATCCGGCAAGGAGGATCGTCGGCGCGACTTTATAAACAACCTCCAGCACCACCTTGTACACCTGTAAATACACGCTCGCGTTACACACGTCTCGGGTACCGTAAAATTAGAATTTGAAGTTAAATACGGCTGTATGTAGACCGTTTTAAGCTCGCGGACACACAAACAGAATATAACTAAATAACGCGCTGAACGTTCCAGAAATCCTGACCTTAATTCAAATGTCAGATCTCCTTTCGGAATATGTCAGGTTACCTTTGTGAATTTAGACCAATGAGCATGTTTTACATGGCGTTCTAATTGGCATTAATGACGTTACAGATAATTAATGCATTAATCGCATTATACGTTTAGGTTGGCCTTAAAATACCACTTCAAAGTCGATTGCTTGGGGAAGGAAGGAGCAACTATTTGGCCATCAGGAAGAAAGAAACATGAATTACCTGATAGTACCACGAGTTGAGAAACGACTGATTGTCCCTCCTCTGGTAGATTAGGGGACCGTCGGGCGCAAGCAGGCAGGTCGTAATTTCACCTCGAAATACGCTCGGTAGATAAACGAGGAATGTAGCCAGCGGAATGAGCACCACTGTTAGGTGAGGCGGTCCGCAGAGTGGCCGCGTGTGTCCGGGATGACAGACGCTTACGTAACGCTCCACTGTCAATGCCAGAAGCATCATTACTCCAACTCCTGTGCATACAATTAACCCGTATATCTCTCGAATGCATAGCGCGCTACGTCGGCCTTAAAAGCCTCTCACTCCGGTCACGTTAGAGAGCACCAGCTGTAATGTGTTTCCACGCATGTAATATACAACGCTGCAGCGTCAAATCGAAAAATTTTCGCGACACGTTTCGTCGCCGGTGCAAAATGGCTTAACGCTCTCTTTTTCTCCCCGCCGCCTACTCGCGCCCCATTTTCTCCTAATTCTCTTTCTTTGAGAAAGCCACGCCAGAACGAACTTCTAATCGCCATAATCGTTGTAACTTATAAAAGCTGTAAGATACGGGAAAGCAAAAGTTTTCCGTCGCGAGCGAGAAGTTTTGCAACGAGCTATCTTCTATTTCTTTCGGCGCGCGGTGTGAAGAACAGATAACGTAGATAAATTCATTCTTCCCCCCCGCCTCCTCGTCGCGAGGACCGTATCAGTTTTCGCAAGAATGGTGTTACTGAGAGATAGGAAATGCAAGAAAGAAAGAAAGAAAGAGTTAGAGAAAGAGAGAGAGAGAGAGAAGGACATTTGATGATTATGATGAATCGTCATTTACTTAGCGCTGCAGGATAAATTAAGCGCTGGGACATAGTAAATGCAAGGAGATGAGGATATTAACTATCGTGAGCACAAAATTTATATAAAGATCAAAGAGAGAGATACATACGTTACTGAAAATAGAGTAAAAGCATATAGAAATATATAAAGTAATTAACTATCGTAAGCACAAAATTTATATAAAGACAGATCAAAGGGAGAGATACATACGTTACTGAAAATAGAGTAAAAGCGTATAGAAATACATAAAGTAAAAGATAATTGTGACCGTTGAAGGCGTTCACGAATTTTGTTGTGTATTCACATATGCGGTCTCAGTTCAAGTTACAATTATTGTAAAATATAATAGTTGTCAAGTGTAAGTGGACGGTACGTGTATATGTGTGAGCGTATAAGATATGTTTGCGAGAAATAATGCACATATATGTATAGCTTATGTATTATGATAACAGCAGAGGCACTTACATTAAAAAAACAAACATTGATTATGAAAACATAGTAAAAAAATTTCTTTTTAAAAATTTTTAAGGAGAGAAGCAGGAGAGAAAGAAACAGAGAGGGAGAGAGAGAGAGAGAGAGAGAGAAAGGGTGCATTTATTTAAAGCGTTCTGGAATGAAAATCCCTTAGGTTAGGTGCACAAAGATACATAATTTGGCAAAGAAAATTTAAATTGTTGTACATAAAATAAAAATATTGATTTAATATAGAAATTGAGAAAAATGTAAATTAATAAATATAAAAGAAAGAAAGAGAGAAAAAGAGAGTCGATTTTGGACTATTCGCGAATAGAATTTTGTGCCGCAAGATTTTCGTCGCGTCGTTAGCGCGATTCGCCATACCCAGGCAGCCGTTCCCGAGGAAGAGCTCGAGGTGAACGTGATAGAAAGCCTGGAGCCAGCTGCTCCATCCCCCGGTCTCCTTGTGGATGAGCACCCTCAGCGCGAAGGGGATGCAGAAAAGGATCGCGAGGAGCGCCGCCGCGGAGTAACCTGCAACAAAAAGAGGAGCCGGAGCCCCGCGGTTAAGGAGGATACTCGGACCGAGGGAGAAATAAGAGCGAAAGAAGGGGGGGAGGGCGAGGCCCGAGAGTTAACTTGATTTCATAAACCCGGAACAGCGGGCGAACGTTGCGCACGATTCACTTACTTAATCATTCTCGCAACTTCCCCGGGAATATTCTGTCCACCGCCGCGGTGCGGCGGTGCTGGAATTTTTCATTCCGCCTCCGGACGGGAGGGCCGTCGGCGTAGAAACGGCGGAAATAGGATTAAATCACTCTTCAGGATCTATTACGGGATCCCAGAGTGTTCTTAGTCGTTTTCTCCACCGTTTTATAAGTGCTCGTCGCGCGTTTTGATACCCGCCAATTCCCGGTTATGCGTTCCCGCGGCCGTGTAAAACGTTAACGTCCCCCCAACTCGTAATTCTCCGTTCTCTTAGTCTTTCGAGTGTCACTTGTACATTTCAAGTGTCAGTTGCGTAAATACATTTCGCTCGGTCGTTAGGTAACCGACCGTTAGCATCGCGCATCGCGAACGCGCGACTCTTTCTTTTTTACGCTTCGCGCGTTTCAATCCCGAAATTGGAACTTCATCGAGATTCGCGAATTTCGGGCAATCGAAAAACGCGGATACGCGCGCTTTTCGCCAATTTCCATTGATTTCCTGTTTTCGTACGCGGTCGGCCGCGCCGCCAGTTGCTTCACGTCTCTCGTTACCGGGCTTTGTTACCGTCCATTGAAATCAATTAACGCCCATATTTACCGTTTTCCGCGGAATTTCCTGAGCGCAATTAGAGTCACGCCTGCTTCTTCCCAAGAATTAAGAACAACAGATAACGTCAAAAATGACGATAACATTAAAATTAATTGAAATGTGATTTTTAATAATCATTTTGGAGCCATTTTGAATTTTTGTTCCGCTTGTTTGACTTCCGCTTTTTTGCACAATCGCAAATTGGATGGAAAATTGCTCGCACAGGTACTCCGGACACAAATGCGATGAAAGGAAAAGCGTCTTTGGATATACGAGGGCAAGTCAATAAGTTTTTAGAAAAACATAGTAAAACATATTTTTTTTGCTCAATTCATTTTTATTTCTCAACATAGTCTCCTTTCAGCTCGATATACTTGATCCAACGATTCTCCAACTTTTTCAAGCTGTCCGAATAATATGATTTGTCTACCCTTCAAAATAAGCCTCTGTTTCGATGATGAGCTGCTCTCTGGCGATTAATCTCTTTCCTCCGAACCATTTCTTCAGATTTGGAAACAAGAAATAGTCGCAGGGGGCTATTTCTGGCGAATATGCTGGATGGAGAAGCAATTTATAGCGGAATTCGTTGAATTTGGCCATTGGTGCCGGGGTCGCGCTTATGGTTCACAGTGAGCAAACGCGGCACCCATCTTGCCGATAGTTTTTTCATACCCAATTGTTCGTGCAAAATTAAAATCACTGTGCCATGTGATATGCCTGTGGCCTCAACAAGCTCGCGCACTTTCACTCGTAGATCGGTCAAAACAATTTCGTGGACTTTATCGATGATTTCTGGCGTAGCAGCCTCAATTGGACGTCCCGAACGAGGTGTATCACATGTGAATGTACAACCACGTTTAAATTTATTTACCCAATTGTATACAGTCGCAAACGCTGGTGCAGATGTGCTATAAACATTATCCAACTCGGCTTTGATTTCTTTCGGCGTTAAATCATATGTAGATATTTGATCACTGCACAAAACTCGTTTTTTTCCATTTTGCAAAAATTAAAAAGGTTGTTCGCTTTAATCGTCTAAAGAAATAAAAACCACGCGATGAATTCCGCTCAAAATTTTACAATAATCAGCTGAAAGATGTTATACTTGTCAAAAAGTAATGTGACACGACACTGCTTTCTGACAGATTTTCTAAGAACTTATTGACTTGCACTCGTATTAACAAAATTTTTGTTGCTCAAAACAGTCATTTCTGCTTCGTATAAAATTGAAGCTCTTAGTAAATTATTTAACGTTAATATATTATTCGACAATTTAATATATATTATTATAATATATTAAATATTATTTGACAATTATATAAACATATGTAAAAGATATGCATTATTCAGATTTGATGTAGATTGGTAATTACATCTGGATTATCCTCGACCAATGCATGACGAAGACCCTCCCCCCCTCTGCAGAGTAGAATTTTATCAACCCTTGCTTTGCCCGTACCGACTTTCGAGCTCTCAACCGCCGATAAGCTCGACGGAGAGCTTGCTGGTAACGCGAACTCCTTACGGTCGATGATAACCGAGCGGTGGACGGAAAGGGGTGGTTTCAACCCCTCGCTAGTTACCTCAGTTACCAACCGACCTAGAATCTCGCGCTCTGCGGCCATCTCGTAGAGCCTTTCCCAAGCGCTTCGTGCCACGAAAACGGCGCCAGTCGCTTTAAATTACGAGGAGGAAAAGGCTCTCCCTCGCGATGTTCTTTCTTTCCCCCCGAAGTTTATTAAAGCGGAGTATGAAAGTCGCAAGAATCGCCCGGAAATTGGCTAATGCCGCGTCGCGAATGAAAGTCGAGTTTTCCGCCCGGCTATATACACTTACGCAACGCTCGCCGTCGCCGCCGCCGTCGTGGAAGCTCTCGTAAAACTTTTACCGTCGGGGCGCATTAAGGCGAAATTGCGCCTTTCCATTTAAATTACGATTTCTCGCCCGTCTTTCGTCCGTCAGTAACAGTCGCGAAGAAACCTAGCCTAGGTCGGTCTCTCTTTCATTGCAGAGTCTCTCGATCTCTTCGCGGAACGGCGAGTGCGAGCCGGGGTCTGTATATATATATATATATATATATATATATATATAAGTAACCTCGGACTCTTCCCTCTCGCTTTTGTCGTTTTTTCGAAATTGCTCTCTCTTTCTCGATGCGTGAACGGAATTCTGCCCGTGAATAAACATCAAATACTGCACAACGTCCAGCATCGCGAGCGTCCGCTTTGGCAAAACAGAGACGAGTACTCGAGTGAAATTATGCAATCCGCGGATAATGTTACAACACTATATTCGTTCATGTAATGTCAATATTGGTTTATCGAGGAGCTAAACTTGTGCGTGACATGGTAGGGGAGAGTTGCCAAATGCGTATTGGTCTCATAAAGCGTGCCGTAGCAATTTAATATTTTATAGTTTCACTTAATATTGTAGAAGCAACATTTAGTAACAAAAATATGAAGTAAATAAGAAATATGTAAGATAGACAAAAAATGAACAGGTTACATCTTGTTTTATGCATGCTATCAACTCATGTATCTGATTTTAAAAAATCAGATACAATTGATGTAAATTTTTGATCAATTTATATAGCTGGTATACTATAGTGTAACCATGCAATTTTTAATTGAATCGTTATTTTTTCCTAAAAAAAAAGTTTATGATAGCATATTTTAAATTCATTGTATATACATATTTACAATTATTATAAAAATTATATCATTGTTTTATCATCTCTGTCAAGTTTCCTAAATCGCTGCACCTAATCAGCATAAGAGTTATTATACCGTATCGGTACAATTTAGGAACACTAATGTATCTTTATCTTTAGATCACATAACATAATCAACATTATTTATTTTAACACGATCGAAGTTGTTCTGTAGCAATTCTGTAGAGAAAAAAACCGTCATCGAGTTGCGTAAGCAAAACAGCTATTGTTTGATAAATTACAATTAATTAGTAAGTATTAATTCATGATTCTTTTTTCAATCTTGTGTTTTCAATTATTTTCATTAATAAATTCAATAGTTTAGAAAGAGGTACTATTAAATAAAACTCACAGGTACGATTTAGGTGACCGGTTTGCTGAATCGTGCTTTTGACAGCATGTAATAAAAAAGCTTAGAACAAATTAATTTGCTATTAGTGAAAAATTTTACATGTAATATTAGATGCCTTGAACATCAAGCTACAATTTCCAACGTTCGTTTGCATTCTAAATAGTACCAAATGTAAAATATAACCAAAAATATCTTAAGTGGTACGCATTCGGTAATTCTTCCCGATACAAGTCGCTGCCTCGACTCTCACTCGATTGAAATCGAAGTAGCAGAATTCTGAAATCGAGAGAAATTACGCAATAATTACTGCCTCCTATAGTCTACACGCTCTGGACCTTTCGCGCGCGCGTGCGCGCGCACGAGGCTTTCTTTATTTCTTCATCGGGTCGCTGACGTTAACGTAATAATGCGATGTAATCCAATGTAATAAGCCGTTCTAATAAGCCTTAAAACTATCATTATTTATCCTTTGTTACCTGCGAAGGACACAGAGTTGCGAAATTAAATTCGTGTACAGAAACAGGTATTACACTTGCCATTCTCTCTTGATTGAAAAATCGAAGTGACAGAAACACTTTTCGCAAATCGAGAAATTACGCAATAATTATTGCCTTGTAGTTTATAGCCTCTTAACCTTTCGCGTGCGCGAGGTTTTCTTTCTTCATCGCATTAACGTGATAATGTGGTGTAATCTAATGTAATAAGCCGTAATGAGTTGTAAGAACATCGCTACTTATCCTTTGTGAGGAAACGTGCGAGGAACAAGAGTCGTCGGTCCAACAAGATATCCGTTTGGCGGATGCGTGTCGCTTGCAGGGCCGCATTTATCAACTTTTCTCGTGATCTTCGAGCACGTCAATCGCTAGACTTTCCTCCCCTCTCTCTAATAATTAATTAACATTTTTGTTTCTATTAAACTATTAAAACGCATTTAGTTGGCAAGAACAAATTCAACAAATAATTAAAAATAGAATATTTTTTTTACTGTGGTAGCCCAAGCAGAACAAAAAGTCATCATGATATCAAAATGACGTCGAAATGGCTCCAAAATGATTACTAGTTACTAAAGTCACGTTTCGATCGGTCACTATTTATTCTATCGTCAGCTTTATGTTATTGTGATCTGTTGTTCTGCGTTTGGATAGGATTCCAGCCGCTAAAACTCCCATAAACGCGCTACCCGTCACTTTAAATCGCGTAAGACGAGGAGGAACGGCCGTCAGAGCGGCAGTGTTGCGCCTCAATTACCGGAAACCATCACGGGCTTCCATTTTTCTGAAAAACGACGGGTGGAAGTCGGTGGGCGTCGGTGCTCGTTAACGCACGCAGACGCCGCGGCTGAAATTAATGTGTCAGCGACCCGTTTTCGGGTCACGGTTCGTTTACCAAACCTTATCACGTTGATTGAGCCGATTCCCCGGCGTTTTCTTGCTCGCCTCGATCGTCCACCGGCGAGGGGCGAACGCTGACAAGGAAGGAACACAAAAGAGGTGACAGGTCCATAAAAGGGGTTCCGATTGAGGTAAAGAGCCGCCGGACAGAAATAAATCCATTGAACGCACATTTAGCGCGGACACCTCTCGCGTGCGGCACGAAGGTCGGGGAATTCTCTTACGAAATACGCCGATCATTTTTTTTCTCCGTCCCCCCGACCCTCCCCCTCGCCATTCCCCGAAACAGCTGTCACAACTGCATTAGATCACTGATTGACGTGAATGTAAAACGCGGATGACTCTCTTAATTCCCTCTTCCTTTGCGTCTGGAGGCGCCAGCAACACGTTATCGTTTGACATCTTTTACGAGCGTCTTGAATGCCGTCAGTAGAAACGATGATCTGTATTATAGTAATATCTATATTAATCGGATCATTGAAGAAAATTGACACTTTGCAAATATAATACGTTATTAATTCGTCATTGAGAGAAAAATTTTTGGTATTTGTAACGATAATTACAAAGTAATATAATTGTAATTATCATTATACTATACTATAATGTTAGTAATAATAATTATATGTATATAGTTTTATCAACAAATTTTGAAACTTACTATAACTTTTGTTACCATAAATATAGTTTTGTAATTATTATTATTTGACTATAATTTATAGTCATTTTTGAGGTCAACTGTATTATATGGTGTAATCATTTTTTATGGTAACAACTATAATGTATGTAGTAAGTTTCAAAATTTGTCGATAAACTATATGCATATAATTATTATTACTAATATTATAGTAGTAATACTCGTAATTATAGTTACAAATATCAAAAATTTTTCTCTCAATGATGGACTAAAGAATACATTCTGACGGACAACTGTATGTTTTCAATAAAATTCCGAGAGACGTGAAATTTTTAAATTCAATTTGTTTCACATTAATGAATTCGAAAGCGAATATTGCAGACATACGACTATATTTTTATGCAATTAATGCCGTTTATGATATTACGTTCGAGTTACGCGTCGAAATTCTCACACACTGACAAATATCGTGTCACGCACCACGCAAGACGCTGCATCATTGTCACGTCTGAAGTTAATATTTTACATCCACCTAGCGTCTCTCCGAGCGAGTGCGCGTGTATGTACATACATACGCGCGGGTGCGTCGGCAAATATACCAGGAATAGTGAAGAAAAATGTTGCGATGTCTCGCCGGGCGACGTTGTCACCCGGCATCCCGCGGCGACGTTTTACAAATCGCGTCCTCCGCGCGGCATGTTTAATTTATCGAAATCCTGAGGGAGAAGCCAGCTGGTAGCGTCCATTTGTCAGCATCCCCGCGGCCGTTAACTGCCGCGGCGACGACGACGCGACGTCGCGCACCTGAACGGGCTACTTTAACTCCGTAAAAGCGGCTGTTTTCGCGCGGATCGTTAAACGCGTCGTTTGTCACGTCGCGAGAGGTGACGGGCGTGCGTTCGAGTTCAATTCGGCGCGGGGGGGGGGGGGCGAATTTCAAAAACGGTAGGTATTGGCCCGTCGCACGTATATTGATCCCTGCCGATGTTGAGCGTTACCTATATGGAATATCAATGTCCTGATACGCGATCGAAATAATATAAGAAAGAAAAAAAAGCATTTTCTCAGACAAACGACAACGACACGACACGTATTCAGATGTTATTCCAGGATTATTAAATTGTTATTATTTCAGGATGAAGGCTAGCACAGAACGTCCACATTCACGTCGAATAAATCGAGGCCTAAACGAAATTGCTTCGTGCGAGCAAAGAGTGGCTCAAAATATCGCCCATTTTTTTGGGTCTTCGATTTTGAAATTAAACTGTGTACTAAAAGGTATCTTATAATGAGACATTATAATTACACAGAGAAGTTTCAAGTTGAGGTGATATTTGTTATCAGAACTGGAGGGGATCAAAATATTTATTATCGAATTTTAAGAGGGCTCCAAAAAACGGGCGAAAAAATCTTCTCTTTTTTGGGTTACTCTTTATTTGCAATCGCATTTAATTCTATTTCATTGACTCGCGTTAAAGTTACGTAAAGCGTTCTGTAAAAAAAATAATGAATGTTTGATTCGAGGAGGCGCAAATGGA